CCCTCTCTCTCGCTCTCTCCTGAAGGATGTGCTGGAATGCACCACACAGGCCTTCCCAGTGTTTCCATGTGGCCCCTCGGCTGCAGCGGGTATAGGCTCTCCAAGTTCGCTTGCTGCTGGAGTCAGTTTGCAACCCACACGGGAATCCCCCCCTCTTCTCCAGCATGTCCCATCTGACTTTGCAGAGCACCGAAACTTAAATCACTTTTCTTTTTTTTTCTAAATAGAAGAAAATGCTTAAAAGATATTTAATGGGGTTTTTTTAAGAAGAAGAAGGAAGTGTGTTAGCTCATGAAGCCGAATCTCAGATAATATATGAAGCTGATTGATCTTATAAACAAATAAAAAAGTGTCTACATGCATGTGTGAATTTGTCTTTGCGTGACCGAACTCCTAAAAACAAACAAGAAAGCCGCAAGCAAAAAAAGGGGCCTGTTTGAGCAATTTGAGACTCCTTTTCAAGAATTTCACAGCACTTTAAACATTATCCGGATGCTCTACGTTTTAATCCTGCCCAATCAAATAAGTATGAAACGCTGTGTTGCATGATATAGTCGGAACTAACATACCCTGAAGCCTGCGTGTGTTTGGTTTGTAATTTGTTGATAAACAGCTTTTCCACCTCGCCATCCCACCGTTTGTCACAATCATTATGACAAAGGCGTGGAAATAATTCTGATAAAACGGGTCTATTAAATCCGGGCACATCAGAACGGCGTTTACGGCAAACAAAATATAAATTAGAGCAACGACTCGCAAATCATTCTCGCGGTTTATTAAAGGAACAAGTGTTTTAAATTCACCCCCATCGGTCTGTTCAGCGCGGACTCGAGAGCTTTTTATGGCAGCTCGTTCAGGTGATTATATATTCAAGTCGTACACATCTTTCATGGCCCACCTAGCATCTACACGCCTTGTTGTGTAGATGTTTTGCGCACAAGATTGAAAGTCAACAAAAAAAAGTAGACTTATAGCAAAGTAGGCTCGTTGCTGGGCACTTTTTTATTATTATTTGTAATAGATTTTTTTATTGTGTTATTACTTTGTCGCGTGACAGCTGGAGTCTGTTTTCCCTTTGCTAAAATATCCACACAAACTTAGATCGCTCGTGTGTGTAGAGATGACGCAGTGCAGCTGCTCAGCGCTGTCATAAATAGACATTCAAATCACCAAATTATGTCACAAATGTGCAGGGTTTTATTCTGAATTTGTTTGTGTCGTGCGGGATTTTATTATGAAATGACAAAAGTCCGTGCTGGGTTTAGCTCACTTGACAGCAGCAACAAATCGAATCACCTAATTATTTTTTTTTTAACTCTCAAGTCTCCACTCACACTTCTTTAGTGAGGTTCAGTTCAGCTGAGCACGCCATCTCCTGACTGGAAAAAGAATTGTAGCTTTTCCTTCACGTGCCCGTGCATGGAGATGGGGAGTGGGTTGGTAGGTGGGTCTGTGTGTGTGAGAGGGGGTTGGTGCGGGGGTCATACCACCGTTACCCCAATTTACCCCCGGTGATACCACAAACCCCGAGAGTTTATCCTCTTTTTCTCACATTTCCTCCTTTTCACAAAACCCCTCGCACTTCTCTCTCTATCAGGATCCTCGATCAGGACTCGGAGAGGCTGTGAAGCAATCACTTTCCCAGATTACTTGTATTTAATACACAATGCATCATAAAACAAATCCCTCATCCTGACAGGAAGAAAATAGAACAGCTCATTCGACTTGAGCTTTCCCAATTTATGGCTAAATTAAAAAGGGTTCCAACAATGGACAAGTCGAGGAGAGGCAGGAAATCAATGACCGGGCGGACCGGGGTCTCTCCTCGGTTCTCAAGGCGCGCGAGACGATGGGAATCGGTGGCCGGGTCCTGCCTTATTTACACATGATTTTTCCTGTCCTTCCTGCACATTTGCTCCGCGATTTCGCAAAACAATGGGTATTATCTGGGATGGAAGGTCAATGTCACAGTGTAAGGAGTTATCCATCATCATCTGCTCTCATCAGCCAAAGCCCCGCTCTCTCTGGCTTTATAAGCTGCCTAATAAACTCCGCTCACTGACAACAAGGACGTTTCTGTGTTATTCTCTACCCTTGTCAGATTGTATACGGTATCAGTTTCAGCTTTAAACTGAGAGATTAAAACACACACACACTCAAGAAATACAATGTCCAACATTTGGTCTCATCTTGATGGCAAAGCAGGTGCACGAAGGCGCACGCGGAGCTAAAAGGTTCTTTTTTTTCTTTTCTTTTTTATTCAGAAATAACTAACCCAAGCTGATGTTGAAAAGTAAATGTGTTGTGTTGTATGTAGAGGTGAGCTTTGGAAAGCAGGTGAGTAGGCCAGGGTCCTAAGATGTGGCGCATGGGCATCAAATGGCCCGTATAGAGATTCCCAGATCTCAGTGTGTGAGAACAATTAGGCTGTTTATTATCATTACTATTATTATTACTAATATTATTATTATTATCACTCGTTCCCCCTGGCATACAGCTCAAGTCTGAATGATAAGATAGCTCAAATAAGAAACGTGTAACACACTGCAGCCCCTTTAAATTCAGTTCTTAATAACGACAAAAAAATGTCGAGAGGTTTAAGAAAAGGTGGATAATAATTCACGACTTTGATGCGTATGTTCCTTCATTAAAGTGTGCAGACTATGTGTGTGTGTGTGTGTGTGTGTGTAGTTCATCCCTTTATAAGCCCCCATCCCGACCTCTCCCTGACCCCGCTCACCCTTTCCAACCCCGGGCCTCTGTCACTTTAAAATTTACTGCGGAGAGTAGTCTCTGCTTTCCGGGGACATACATGTGTAAAGACAGTCTCCCTGCTTGGAGTCCCCTCTCCTTTTTTCTTTTTTTTATAATAAGGATGGATCATCCTTTATTTTTTCTTTTCTCTCTCTTTTTTTTTTTTTTGAATGAGAAACATCACACACAAGTATCCGCGAGGCGCAAAGTAGGGAGGCGATGCCTGAAATCTCCCCTCCACCCCCCACCCCGAATATCTCCGCTATCACACAGACGACACATCCCGACTGGCTGAAGAGGAGGAGGAGGAGGTGGTGGAGGGGGGGAGGAAGAGAAAAATGAAAAGTTGAATGGCTACTAGAAGACACCTGGTTGCGTCAGGACAGGAGGGGTGACAAGAGAGGAGCGGACGAGCCTTTCGAAGCGCACCGCTGCGAGAGAAAAAAAAGTTAGGATCAAGTTGATGCACCGGAGGGGATTTCAGTTCCGACGTCTGCGGGACAGCGAGGGGAGAAGCGCGGAGTCGGCGCTGTCTGTGAGACAGTGTAGTGAGAAGGGATTTACTTTTACCGAGCGAGCCGTGTGTGAGAGACAGCACACAGACACACACACAGACAGCGAGACAAGTCGACTCGTCCCGCGGATTGGAGACCTGAAGAGACCGAAAAACAACCGCACAGCGATCTTTTTTTTTTCTTTTAATGTGTCAAAAAATCTGGAGAAGTCGTCATTAGCAAAAAAAATATTTTTCTACTTTTATTTTTAATTCCCAGGGCGATGTTTTTGTATTTTTATTTTTTTTTACGGTGTCACTTTTTACTCAGTTAACCACCGCTGTTATTATCCCAAGAGGCTCAAAGTGTGGCACGCCAGTTTAAAAAAAACGAGTCACCACGGTAAGAACACGCAGACTTTTATAAATAAAAACTGCTTCACTGAGGTTTTATTTTTATTTTTTTACTTTCTTTTTTCTTACACGCAGAGAAAGAAAAAGCACATCTAGGAGTTTATTCGCTCATCCATCTTGCTGAACTAAGTTTGACGTTTAAATTATTAGTTAAAAGACTGCGGTGTAGTTTACAGAATACACGACTAGGTGCTCTCTTAGCGCGGACAAAGGACTTTATGTAACCTAAATATTTATTCAGCAGCAGGTTACACAAAGACATAAAGACAGATTTGTGACCCTGAGAGAGAGATTCCGTTTTGCATCCCAACAATCGGCTTGTCTTCATAATTCTTATCACTCGCGGTTTCCTGCAGTTGATTTGTTCCCCAGTAAAGTTTACAGCCGCGCCATGAAAAATGTCAGAGCGCTCGCGATTCGTTCGAGTGGAAATGCTGCGCGAATATTTTGTAAACGATAAAAGTCCACCGATGATATGATTTGCATGATAATTCACTTCTATTGTGTTTGTTGCTCTTCTGTTGATTTCGCCAATGAGAGGAACAAAGCTGTCCCCCTGGTTTATTATTGTCACAGCCATTGTGTGTGTAGTTTATTATCTTTTACTGTTCTTGTTGCAGTTAAAATGAGTAACGTTTGGTTCATTTATTCGTTGCAACTACATTTAAAGAAACGAATTTAAACGTCAGCTAGAATCAGGTTAAATGCAAATAGATTTTTTTTGGGGATGTATTTCATTTTGTGGCAGATTTTTACATTTCTTTTTTTTGCTTCCTTTCTGTAACAAAATAATAAAGGAGCGATCGGTCCAAAGTGAAACTGAAAGAAACCTTTGCTAATATGAAATGAATGCATATAATAATTCATGTTTTTATTTGTTACTGAACCTACTATTTGGCTTTTTTTGTCTTCCTTATGTACTGACTTATTGACGTCACTTAGCATCTTAAGAATATTTATGAATATGATTTCCATTTTTATTACTTAAATGGTAATGACATCATTCTTCAACAGGCCTCTGAAGCTTTAAAAAGGTCTCAGATATATAATGAAATTACTTTGGTACTGAATGCTTTTTTCTCTTTCTTTTCATTTATATACAATGTTCACTGTCTTATATTCAAAACAATACAAATAATAATAATATTAAAAGTGTGTGTGTGTGTGTGTGTGTGTGTGTGTGTGTGTCAGAGAGTAAGAGAGAGAGACCTGCTCCTAACATTTGAGTTCTTTTCTCTGTGGGAGGTATGTGGTTAGTCAGTGTTTGGACACAGTAACCTGGACTGATACTGATCAAAGTCTGATCTCTTGCTCTCTCTCTGTCTTTCATTCCTTGCAGATCTTGGATGGGTCAGGCCATGTAAAATTCTGCGTGGATGCCAGCAAACCAGATATCGGGAGCTGGCTGAAGCACATCCAGTTTGCCCCTGCAGCCAAGCAGCACAACCTGACAGCGTGCCAGATAGATGATCAGGTACGAGGAGACGGGTCACTCGCAGCCCACCTGGCAAAACAACCTCAACAAAGTGCGAGATAAATAGGATGTGAAGGAAAGAGAGAGGGAGAAAACATCTGCATGACTCAATTTTGAACTCCCAAATGCTGATGTGTCTTTTAAATGTCTGGCAGGATGAATCAAGCATTTAAAATGCACTCAGCCTTTTTCTAAAGCCAGAAGGCTTCCCTGTATTTTCCGACGGCTGTCCCGTCTGCGTGCTGCTGTGTTAAAAGGTGTTATTGTGATCTAAGTCAGATAGCCCCAAGAGCCGCTGGCCCACCCTGCCTTTAGTTTACTCACACACACGCACAGGTCTTATGTGACGTTGCACCATAGAGACTTCTCGCTATCTGTGTGTGTTTTCCTTCGGTAATTGTGCACTGGCTTCTGCCGTGCGAGGACCACAGGGCAGGATCAGAGGCGGCCCGCCAAGATGATAGTTCCACACACTTCCTAGTCACGCTTGCGATATAAACTCCTAGATATGCCAGGAATGTCACCATCCTTTTGCTGCTCACCTGGCTGTGCAGAGGTGCGTGCTGTATACATGGGGGCCTGTTCAGCTCAGCAAAGCCATGGCGGGGGCTCCTCCCACACAGAAACACACACACACATACACACATTGGGACAGGAACACAAGAGGCTAAACTTTATTTGACGCGTGTGCGCAGCATACCATCGCATGACCCGAATAAAAACCATAATCTAGCTGGCGTGTTTGTCATCACTTCTCACTGGTGGTCCATTTAAATTTTCTGCTTAACGTCGCCCATTGAAATTTCTGCAGAATCTCCATTATAGTGCTTGGTAACATGCTCTAAATACAGCACTCGCAATTAGTGGTAATTAGATGCAGAAATTTCTCACAGTGGAAAAGATGCACAGAGTTTGCCTTTTCCCTGAAAAAAAAAGAAAAAAAAAAGGTGATCGACATCTTCCAAGAAAGATCTGGCCTGTTCTTCTGTCAGACATGTATGTTTTTGTTCTGTTCTCTTCCTCACAAGGAGGAGAGAAAGGTGTATCACTTCTCTTAGAGGGATAGAAGGAGAAGGCTTCCAGAAGTACTTAGCCACTCTTTTTTAAAAAGACACAGAGAGACAAACAAGCAGAGGAGAGCTTTCCTGAGCTGCCCTCTGCACGAGGTGTGACTCGCTGTCAACACTGTGGTTCTGCTTGGGTGGCTGTGTAAGGCACCGACAGGTCACGGACATGGCTATGATGAGGTGATTGTTAAGTATTACACACTGTCACAACACAGCACAATGTGCTGTCTTTAAGCCTTCCGGCCAACATCGGTGTTTTTGAAAACACAGTGTAGCGTCTCACAATGCCTGTCTGTATCTGTAAAATGAATAGACTGAATAGGGTGGTCAAAGCTGCTGTCAGTTTTTGGTACTGACTGTGTGCGAGTGTGTGTGTCTGTGTGTGTGCTCGTGCTCATGAGGGCTTTTTTTGTGTCCCTGTGTGCACAGACGTTTATGTTCATTGACTTGCTGTGAGTGTGTCAAGTGTTTTATTGTGTCTCTGAAGTGTGTGCCCACACCTGTAAGTGCCTGTGTTTCCTACATGTATGCATGTACGATTGTGTGTGTTTTGTGTGTGTGTGTTTTGTGTGTGTGTACCCACACGCACACTCTGCAAGGACTGTGAATTGTTCACTGCGGTTCAGATGACTCCCCGCGCTCCTCATTCTGAGCTGGAAACGCTAAAACACACAGTACCTGATTCCAACAGGTTTTTACTGCCACAGAGAAGTGCTGACTCCAAACGCAGCCTGAAACCACACATTACACAGTCGCCACATAACGTGTAGCATCACCAGATTTCCACAGAAGGGCCTGACTAAGCTGCCCTGGGCTCATACATTTCTTGTTCTGTAAAGTCGTCCTTCAAAACCAAGTTTAAACAAATCGTCCCTTGCCATGCGCTCAACAGAGATGATTTGTTGTACGGCCTGATTTTAAGGCAGTGTCATACAGCGACAGCAATTTCCAGGCGTGTTGGTCGTTATTTGGGCCTGGTTCTTTTCAAGCCTCAATTTAGCCCTGCCAGCGTGAGTAAAACTGGCCTCCGTCTTCTTATTTCTGACCCAGTTCTGGTTATCATAAAACTTTATGAGCAATCTCAGGAGAACGTGGGAGCGAGAGAGGAATGAATGAGGGAGCAGAGAGAGAGAACAACGTCTGTTTATTTCTTACTAGAGGAACTGTTCGCAAGTCCACTTCCCCTTTCTCTTCTCTTTTTCTCTCTCAATTCATTTGTTACTCATCTGCCATCCTCCATCAGGATAAACGTCTTTATTTTTACCCCTTTGCATGGAAAACTTGAGCAGACTGTGCAGGAAGTAATAGAGGACCTGCAAAGGAATACATTGAATATTTTTAAATTTAAAGATATTGCGCACTGTGTGTTCAGCTGTTGAAATGTAAAAAGCTAAAGTTGTTCTTTAATAATAATATTAGCTGGGCTTTGGTCATTCTAAAAGAAATGAACAAGGACAGCCTTTATTTGGGTGACCTTTCTGCTTTACTACTTTATATATTTGACACGTCAGAGTGGAAAGCAACAGGAAAGAGCGGAGAGGGAAGGCGATGGCAGGTGTCACAGTCTGTGAGTCACACTGAAATCTGTAATTAATCCAGCATGCTTCAGCTCACAGGTTTGAATTTGTTTAGAAATAAGAAGAGCTGTATTAAGAGAGCCAAGTATCATACATGCAGGTTCTCATTTTATTTCTAAATGAATGTGAAACTCTTTAAAGTTGGCCGGTTATATAGTTTTTTGATGTTTGAAAATTCCTACCCCAGTGCGCAAGACATCCTCGCTCGCACGCTAACGCACACGCAGAGACGATGCAGCCTTAGCGCCGCTTCCACAGATCCATCCACGACCAGCACGTTTTGTTGTTAATATAATCAGGGGAATTAGCGCTTACAAACCCTCCGCTGTGCTACTGACTCTACTGAGTCAATTGAAGGGAAAATTGATTAAAAGTGTAATTAACATCATCCAACGAGGCCCGAAGAGCCTTTTATAAGACAGTGCAGAGGGATATGAGCGTTGATCTCATTCGCTCTATTGATTCTCACTCAGTATTGAGTGGGATGGAGTGGCTTTGGGGCATATTAGCAAAACACTGACGGCCATTCACTATGTAAATACACTGGAGGTGATTGCAGCTCAGTGAGATAAAGGTATTGGACCACATTCAGCTAAAAAGAAGAGATCAGATCGTGCAATTCCACACGATTTAATGCTTCATATGACAACTTTAGAAGATTTACAGCCTTTTTTTAATTCACAGATGTAACTTTTTTTTACCTGACATTGATGCTATGCCACTAAAGAGGTACCAAAACAATTTTTGCTTTTGCTTTGATTCCTTTGCATGTAAGGAAGCCAGCATGTTCATCCAAATTGCTGGAAGCAGCTGCACATTGTGTGCTCATACTCTTTATTGCTATCTAAGTCACGAAATGGTTTCATTTAGAAGCCAAGCGATGGTAACTGCCAAACATACTGTACATGTAGCATGACCCCGCTGGAGAGGCCACAACACATGTGGACATGTTGCTGTTATGCAACTGCTGACTAAGCACAATGTTGTGGTCGATCTTCTATATTGTAATTATGCTTTGCACTTTTTTTTCCCTTCTTTGCTTAAAAATAAACAGCGTTGGGGAAATGTTTGAACCGAATGCTCGTATCCGATGTTGCTTCTTTAATTTAGTGTGGCCCCGTGTTAAAGTAGCCTGAGACTTTAAGGGATTTTTTTGTTTTTGTACTAAAACAAACAGCCGGACTGAGAGTTTACTGGGACGGGACAGCGTAGGTTAACATACCTGTTGAATGCGGTCTGTGTGCGAGAGGGCGAGAGGAATCGGCCAACAGGGTGTGGACACAGAAAATGTGACTGTGTTTACTCTGCTAATGACTAATGGTGTCAAGGTAATAACTTATCCAATTATAGCCTCTGATCCTCGTGTGGTTTTAACCTTTGACAGGGAGAGTGTATGACAGAGAGAGGAAGATAAGCAGTGACCTAATAAACTAACGCATACAGACAAAAAAGGCAACATATCCTTTAAAAAAAACATGCGGAGCTCTTTGTATTGATATAAAATAAAAGAAAATGTTTAAGAGAAGATCGGGGTGTTTTTGGATAAAACATGAACTAGAATCTCAACACTTTTTATGGTTTTCGGTGTGAACTCAAACACCCTGACTATCTTATCTCCAGCATTATCTTAAGCCACTGTTTGACTGCTGGAAAAAGAAATGTTTGTGTGTGTGTGTGTGTGTGTGTGGCCATGACATGCTAAGGATGACCCCAAGAGTCAAAGACGGTGTGTCCTGTTTGGGACACACAGTGACTCGCTGCCTCTTTGTTTACGTGTGTGTGTGTTTTCACTGTTTATCTGTGGCGACCCTCAGGGAAGGGGTGGAGCCGCTGGGGAGAAATCCCCCTCCTGTTCGTAATCACCCTCTTGAGTGTGCTTACGCTGCTCCAAGAATACACGTTCTTGTGTAAAGAGTACAGAGTGGGTCTAATCGAGAGAGGTCAGAGGTCAGATTCAGAGCCAGGAGTGCTTCTTGCTGACAGAGACTTCCGTATGGCTGTTGTCTGCTGTTTGCTGCCGTTCTTTGTGGACTTTTTTCTTTTTGTATTTTTTATGAACAAATGTGAACAAATTCAACAGTGTCCGTTAATTTTTATGTTCTAAGGCTATCGTCCAGGGATGTCAAACGAATTTAACATCGTCAGCCTTAAGTTAGCCAGACCAGCGAAACACCCCTCTCTGTCAGTGTAAATACGTTTAGCTGAATGCATAATCCCTGACATGTCTCAATATAAGAAAAAGTGGGAGAAGTGGGATCCTAAAGAACATCTCAGTTTTCGACATGATAAAGGTATAAAAAACATTCTATAGCAGATATAGTCGATACTGGGAAAACCAGGAACTTCTCTCTTGTCTTTCAATTATTTATCTATAACCTATTTATTTGCTGTAGTATGAATGGCAACCGAGGAGGTCTTTATCAATAGAATCAGAGCTGTAAATCAATTGAAAATACAATTAAAAGTTCAAATACTGTGCCCTCCTTCACATTTTCCAAAGCTTTCCAATTGGAGTGATTCTGGCTCTTGGGCCTTATGTTTGGCACTTTAAACGGCGCTCTGGTGACTTTCCAAAGAGCCTTCCTGCTCAGTCTCAGTATCAGTCTCTCAGAGCGGAACCCCTACAGTCCCTCGTGTCTGTTTGCGCCGATGTCTGATTGTTTCTGAATCACAATATTTTTGTGCCCTTTGAGAGCCCCTTTGTCTGTGCGCCCATGTGCGATCTACAAAAAAACGATCCAGATTCATGCACATGCATCTCTGCTACAGAGGGCAGAGTAGGGTATGACAGAGATTATAGTTTTGGGACCCTCACAGTTCACTTCTCTTTATTCATACTAGATCTGCTTCCTTCAACATAGCAGGAAAAACATTCCCCAACTTTTAACTTTAACTACTGGCCTTCCTTGTTAAATAAAGGCAAATCAAAAAAAATTCTCAAATACTAAAAAATAAATAAATAAATCATAAAAATGGATTCCATTTGGTGGTTATTATGTAATATGTCTCCCCTGGTCTGGATAACTGTAATGACTCCGGTTCAGCCCTGTAATGGGAGTCAGACTTCCAGGCCCTGTTGCCCTCCCACTGATTTTCTTGGCAGGTCATATTCATTTAATGCCTGAATTTAAGTCATACTTTAATGCTACCACAGAACTACATGAGTTACGATGCATCAATCACTCCTAGGTTATTGACACACAAGAGCTCTGCCTTGGTCCGGCCGACTTACTTAAGCTCCCTGTACTCCAGCGACTCAGTAGTGTCACATTTAGTATTATATCAGTTGCCAGAAGTAAGAACAATGACACAAATAATTATAGTCTGAAGCATACCTCATGATCTTTATTGTGACCGAGATATTTATCTTAACTCTCTCAGGAGCCACGGCGGCTCTTGTGTTCCCCCAGTCAGGAATTCCCTTCATAAGCGGCGTATCGTGACCTGCGCCTTCCCAGAAGCAACTCTCTCCACCCCCCTGTCGCATTTCTAATAAATTCCTCTATCATCATTGTCATGTTGACACAGCAAAGGAAGGTAATATGTTAAACGTCCAAAGCGTGCCAAATATAACTCCATGTGTGATTGTTTCACAAAGAAAGCCTATTGTGTGTCCAGGGGAAGCACCACAGTCCCAGGGACTCTCATCTGATTCTTAAATATGACTTGCCCCACTCAAAATGCACGGTCCCATATTTAGCCGTAGCAAAACTATTTATGTACAAATGCTGTACACGTAAGTCAGTATAGGTGCATTAAATAACACAAACTGATCGCACAGCTGGAAGTTTCTCCTATTGGGAAAATGGTCAATCAACACAATGCTGATTTTATAATAGTTCGTTATGCTGGCTGTTTGTTTAATTAGCTTTCTCTCCACATAGTCGTTGCCACTTCCTGCCCACTACAAGCATTACTGTGTAGAGTATTTACAGACGAGTATATTTATTCAGCAGTTGTTTGTGTTTTCTTTTTGTATTCATGAAGATGAATGCTTTACAGGATGAGTAATTACAACTTAATGACCGTGTGTATTTTCATGTATACGTCTCTTCTGCGTGTGCGGTGGTGCTATGACAATCATGTGTGTATGCTCATGCCTGTACAGTACAGCTACCTCACGTGACCTCTGCAACGCTTGCCTCGTGCTGTTATCGACAACCTAGAAGAGACAAGTTAACACAAAGTGACTGACGCAACATTTTTACTATAAAACAAAGGACTGAAGCAAATTCTTTGATACGTATCTGCGGGGCTCTTTTGATTCAAGGGTTGATTTGAAAACTTCTGCTTAAGTCATAAAAATATTTTGTGTCTTACAGATATTCTACAAAGTCACCAGAGAGATTTTTCCTGGCCAGGAGCTGCTACTTTTCATGAAGGCTGAAGAGTATTCATGTGATACGATGGCTCCTGATATTCATGGTCGGCACCTCACGCATGCACAGACACAAATATTTTGGTTTTTTTCTCTCTCTGCTGTAAACATATCTCACAAATGTTTTTTTTCTATGTTAATTCCCCCCCTCCCGCCCCGACACCTTGCACTACGCAGAGGAGAGGCAGTACCGCTGTGAGGATTGTGACCAGCACTTTGAGTCCCGCAACCAGCTGCTGGACCACCAGAAGAAGCCGTGTGGGATGCCCCCCTCCTCCTTCCTGAACCCAGGTTTGAATTTTCAATATTATTACTTTTTTTCTACCACCATAAAAATAGAGTTGTACAGAGTGTCGAGAAACATGTGTTGCTGAACTGGGACCAAGACACTAATGATCTAAGTGCTTTGTCTCTCATCGGAGCAACTGAAAATGAGATCATAGAGTAGTGCTCTGTGGAAAAGGTGAATCTGATCTACGCTTTAGCCATGAGGACGACTTTAAAACCTTCCACTTTCGAGTGAATGAAGCTTTTTTTGAGCTGCTTGTATAACTTCTTATGTAATCTAGGAGGCGACAATGACCTGAAAGCCCAAGAACCTCAAGACTTGCGACCCCTCCACATGTCCCAAGGACTACACGAATGTAAAGAGTGTGACCAGGTCTTCCCTGATGTTCAGAGGTAACTGGATGGACACATTTCATCCCATAATTTATTCGAGCAAGTGCTGACAAACAAACATGTGATTCAAGACAAATCCTTCCAATCTCATTGTCTTTTTTTCTTTTTTCTTTTCTGCAGCCTGGAGGCCCACAGCTTGTCCCACAGTGAGGAGAGAGAATATAAGTGTGACCAGTGTCCCAAGGCCTTCAACTGGAAATCGAACCTGATCCGACATCAGATGTCGCACGACAGTGGCAAGCACTATGAATGTGAAAACTGCTCAAAGGTAAAGTGATGACTGTTGAAGGGAATATTTCATGATTTGGGATGCAGATATTTGTGCACATGTGTCCCCTCTGCACATTTATTTAGAAGCAGATAGTAACCCTCCCGTGTGTCTGTGTGGTTCCTCCCCCCAGCAGGTGTTCACAGACCCCAGTAACCTCCAAAGGCACATTCGCTCGCAGCACGTCGGGGCGCGTGCTCATGCCTGTTCTGAGTGTGGCAAGACGTTTGCAACGTCTTCAGGCCTCAAACAGCATAAGCACATCCACAGCAGTGTCAAGCCCTTCATGTGTAAGTCACTAAGACCCTACCTATGTAAGTCTACTCAGTACATTATAAGAATAACAGTAATGACATGCTTTGGCTTGCCTTCTAATGTGTTTTTTGGGGGAAAAAAATCACTTCATCCTTCTGCAGGTCTTTTTCTCCAGAACTAATCTTGTAATGTTCTACAGGGTTTACACGTGATAATATACTGCAGCGAAGCAAAGACGTTTCTTTAGAAAGGCCCATGCAGTCTGTTTTCTGCACCAAGCCTCGCACACTGCTGACATAATAATAACAGCATTTTAACGAGCATGTAATTCAGTTTGAATCATTGAATCTTTGTCTAACCTTGATTTTGCTTGTAACTGTGATTTAATCTAATGTTTTGTTGACATACATCTTGCAGGCATTTTTGTCTCGTGTCTTGGTTTCTTTATTTCTTGAGCACATACTTTCTTTTTTCTTATTTTTTGGGGTCCTCGCTAACTCCTGCAGGATCCAAAAACCTTTGACCTTTCACACTTTCACCACCTCACACAAGAGATCTGATCTCCATATCCCCTGAAGCATTATGACCTCCACCCTCTGCCCCTTTCCTCTTTCCCCTGTTTTATTTTTTATTGTTTTTTTGTTTTTTTAAGTGGGCTCATACAAATCTGTACACATTAAATACATACTATCTTTTTCTTTTGTCATGAAAACACACAGACAAACACATATAAATAAATATCCATATACTTAAGCAGGAGTGACGGCATCTCCAGTGAAGACTTCAGATTTCCCTATCTCGTCTTTTGCCTCCAGAACATGCACCATTCCTCACAAATAGCAACCACATGTACAGCCCCTCTTCCCTACGCTTCCTCTGAATTGGAGTCCATTTGCTATAATCAGCAGAAACTATGCAGGTTTAAAAACAACTAATAGCTGTCTAAAAAAAGAGAGAGAGAGACAAAGCAGCCTCCAACATGATGGCTGCCTGGGAGAAATCATATGCGAAGTGCCTTTTTGTGTGAGTGCTCTTGTAGGGTCTGTATGCATGTGCTTGTGTGTGCATACTAGTATTCGTGATTTAGTGCACGCAGTGTGTCAAGGATGTGTGCATACAAGCTTTTGTATGAACGGGAAGCACCCAGAGGTGCTGGGTTGTTAATTCCCACACTCAAGTGAACATTATTTATCTGCTGCACTTTTCACAAGAGCATGTTTATAATATTTTGTTTTTCAGTTTATTAAGAGCTGAAGAATACGCACATGTGGTGAATCCTGCCCCACAGTGTGCGTGTGATGCGTATGTTCTTAGGATGTAAATGTCACAAGAACTAAACTGAGTCAAAGGGCTTTTTTCTTCCAGTCTGCTCAGGCTATGTGGGCGAACTTGTATTTAAAAAAATATAGACACAAGGAGAGATCATTAATAGCTCTTGTTCCTTCTTTTTTTGGCTAAAATTTGCACATTGTAGAAGCTTGATTGGACTAATTTCAAGCAAATTTAAAATACAAATTCTTTAGTGTTCTTTTAAACAGTTTAAAATGGCCTAACACACCCATGGTGATGATTAGGTAACGCTTAGAGAAACTGAGAAACTGCTGTTTCATGTCACAGTGCTAGACGTCAGCTTCATTGGTTAAATTGACTGAAAGGTCTGGGCTCAGAGAATTTTTTTTCTTCTCCTTCTCCTTCCTCTGCTGCTGCTTCTTCTTCTTCTTCTTCATTAGCCTGGCTGTGTCCAAAAAAGCTTAGCCACAAATACCCTTATTTTAATTTATTTTTCTGGTTCCTGAAAATTCACCTTTTTTTTTTCTTTTTGAAAATATAGGATTACATTCACTCCTGGCTTGAACTTTCCCATTTGGAGTTCCTCTGGGATGTTTATTCAAATGTGCTTCCAAAATGCTTTTTTTTTCCTGTTCTCCCTCTCCATCTCCTTGAATTGCCTCTTGTGCACCTTGAGGCTGGAAAGCATCCAAAGTATGCAGAAGTGAAACCACAGTGTGAGCCTAACCACTTCCTTATCCTCGTTTAGAAGATCTAATAACAATATGAGCTAAATCAATCATCCAGAAATCCTTCTTACTGCTTTCCTAAAAGTGTAGGGTGAACACAAGCTGCAATCCACAAAATCCATAGTGTGGGAGGGGTGTGACAAAGAGGGACATCTTCTGCATGACAGAAGTTCAGAGACACAAAACTGAAAAGCACAACCAAAATAGCATATGATGGGTTACTATTCCCACTATTAAATCATCCATTTACAATAGAAATAGCTGACAGATTAATACTGACCAACAGATACCATCAGATGGTGGATTTTTTGTTGGGTGTTGTCATTGTACGTCTCGGGAGACAGACTGACTGACAGGCAGGCATAGAGAGTGTGGCTGTTGACTGTGGGAAGGTCAGTAAGCGCAGGATGACAGAGCCAACTATGGGGACAAGGTGAGGGGGCTGAGGGGGTGACTAGAGAGGCCCAGAGAGAGGGGGGGTGGGGGGGGGAAGCAGCAGAGGACGTGAGACCTGTCCCTGGGAACCGGACTGCAGGATAGGATTCATTCAACTCCACTTCCTTCTCAAACTTAAAATAGAGCCATTGTACTGAATGAGGCTGAGAATGTGTGTGTGCGTTTGTGTGTGTGTGTGTAGCTTTATGCCTGTGTGTGTCTGTGTGTGTGATTACAATTTCGTTGCGGTGTGTGTGGATATTTTGTGAATGTGACTGCATGTACACATGTGTGTCTCTGTGTGATTGTTTATGGACTCCCTGGGAGCGTCCCTGGAAGGACAATGGGGCTGGAGATGCCTGGGAATTTGGTTTGATGTGCAGCTGATGAGTGGCAGCGAGTGACTCACACCATCAACCAAATAGATTCTCTGACAATTCCAGGATCTGGACACACCTCTTCTTTTCTGTTCTGCTGGAACATTGTCAGAGTATTGATGGGAACACAAGTGTATCACTCATGCTGCATTTCCTCTGCCTTTGCTTCAGCTGGCCTGAAGCATAGAAATGTCATATTAAATTATGTAATTTTGGTGTGTATGTGCATGAGGAGTTGGGAGGGGTGGAGGGGTGGGGGTTCAGTTCATGTCAGAGGCTGATGCAATCTATGCTTGTCTCTGTTTCCCTACAGGTGAAGTCTGCCACAAGTCCTACACCCAGTTCTCTAACCTTTGCCGCCACAAACGCATGCACGCTGACTGCCGCACACAGATCAAATGTAAGGACTGTGGGCAAATGTTCAGCACCACCTCTTCCCTCAACAAGCACCGGCGCTTCTGTGAAGGGAAGAACCACTTCACAGCAGGAGGGCTGTTTGCCCAGGGTATGCCACTCCCTGGGGCCCCCGGCTTGGACAAATCAGCTCTTGCAATGGGTCACAGCAGTGCAGGACTTGCTGATTATTTTGGGGCTAGCCGACATCACAGCGGACTTACGTTCCCTGCTGCCCCAGCATTTCCTTTCAGCTTCCCTGGCCTGTTCCCCTCTGGACTTTATCACCGGCCGCCACTCATTCCTGCCACAACTTCTCCTGTCAGACAGCCATCCCACGCACCTGTTGCTGGACCTGGAGTAGAGCTGAGCAAGAGTCCTTTGCTGCCTCCAAGCCCTGGTGCTCAGGAGTCTCAAGAACTTCTCAAAGCTCTCCGCAAAGACGGCGGTTCACCTGGAAGTCAAATGCCAGTGTCAGACAGCCAGGCCTCATCCTATACCAAGCAAAAGAACAAGCAGAGTGACCAGTCTGAAAGCAGTGACCTGGATGATGTCAGCACACCCAGTGGAAGTGATCTAGAGAGCACGTCAGGCTCCGAGCTCGAAAGCGACATGGACAGTGAGAGGGAGAGGGGGGCTGCTCGAGAAAACGGAAAAGGTCCAAAGAGGAAGGCCAGTGAAGGAGGCCCTCAAAGCCCCGGCCTGATGGGCAGCAGCGCTGCTAAAGACTTTCCAGGCCCTTCCCTCATCCCGTCCCCGCTGGACGAACACACAGCTGTAACAGGAGCTGTGAATGACTCTATTAAGGCCATTGCCTCAATTGCCGAGAAGTATTTTGGCTCCACTGGGCTAGCTGGCCTACAGGACAAGAAGGTTGGGTCTCTTCCCTATCCTTCTATGTTTCCACTGCCTTTCTTCCCAGCGTTCTCCCCTCCGGTTTACCCCTTCCCAGACAGAGACCTCAGAACTGCAGGCCTGAAGGGGGAGCCACAATCACCTGCAGATGACTGCAAGAAGGCCCAAGGGAAGTCTTCATCCGAGTCCCCATTTGACCTCACCACCAAGCGAAAGGAGGAAAAGTTAGCATCCTTTGCGTCTTCCAAACCAGAAATGGCCCAATCTATGGGTCAGGATCAGCCACTAGATTTGAGCCTTGGGGCCAGGGGCCGTGGGCGTAATCCAAGAGAGGAGGAGACGAAAAAGAATCCAAATTACGAAGAGGAGAAAGGAGTGGTGGAGATCCCAAAAGCAGACACTTCCTTACAACATGCTAGGCCCACCCCTTTCTTCATGGACCCCATCTATAGGTATTGTTATTACCAGTAACTCTCTAAGTCTTTATTTGGTTAAATAACAGTATTTAAAAAATGTAATTACTTCTATATGCTGCAAATGTGCATACAGATTTGCAAAGTTTGTCAGTTATTTTGTAAAACTGAATATAATCTCACTGATAACCACTAAGAGCTAATAGAAATCTACTATTAGCAGGGTTGAGAAGAGGAGAATGAGCGATCCGTTTGAGACTCTGAAAGACAAGTACATGCGACCCGCTCCGGGCTTCCTTTTCCATCCACAGGTAGGTTTAAACTATGGCTTTCATAGGAATTGGGGAAATTTGGGAAAGGATGCATACCGGGTACAACATAAAGGATTAAATATTGCATTCTTATGAGTTCAGCAGCTCTTTACTCTTTTAGTTATTTAAGTTGATGATTTGATGCCTATACTGCCCTAATTTATAAGGGTACGAGTTAAATTACAGCTGTCATGGGTCTTGCCATCAAACAATGGCACAATTCAAGCTTACAAGTCCAAGTCTTGGCCTCCTATGTACACAGCAGTGACAGCAACATGTAATTTAAGCAACCAGTGCATATTATGATTCTTTCTACAAAGAGCTTTTATCCTTAATGGTTATCACAGACTGACCAGACTGGATTATTGAGGATTAGCATGTGACTCTAGTTTTACCCAAGCTACTGCCTGTTAAGCCCGCTGCTGGCTCCCCGAAACAGATGTGTTTCGGAAAGAAAGGCCACTTTGTGACACATCTTCCTATAATATGTCTTTGATTACAATATAAAAAAATGATATGCTCTTAAAGCAACGGTTTCTGCCCCTGGGTTTTCTGTGCCAGTATTTCCAGCGTGAGGCTCCATTTAACGGGTATGTGTCCATGCGTGCACACGGGTCTGTGTGTATGCATGTCGATGACATGTTGCATTGACGTTCATTTGTTCAATCTTCCCCCGCGGGTGAGAACGGTCTGCTGGAAAGTGAAAACACCACTTTCTCAGGCACATGATTTTTTTTCTCTCTTTTCTGGCTGTTTCAGGCCTGGTTTTTACAGGCTGTTTCATTTGTCTGATTTATGTCCCCTGTCCAGACTGCTGCATGGGTCCAGCCTGCAGCAGCCACATGGCCGTCCCACATGCCTTAATGAGGTGTCCTATCAGTAGAAACACTAACTGAGTGCTTAGGCCATCTTTATGACTTTATGATGTCTGGACACACAAATCATTCCCGCAAATACCAGACCAGGGTAGGTCTCAGCCAGACCAGGCGATGGGCTGTTCCACGTACTTTTGAGGAGGTTTGTTTTCAGTCACCTGAGTCACTCTTGAGCAATATATTAAAAGAGAGCTTGCAAAGATGAGGGGGCTGGAAGTTCTTTCAACCTTTAGTGATTCAGCTTTTTATTTCCTGGCAGGAAATTTTACTGCTAGCCAATACTGGCTTAGATTACATACTGGAATTGAATTTGTAGCCTTCTATAATGAGCTTATTGAACACCAGGAAGTGTTGGAAACTATAAGAGCCTCATATAATTCCAGCGCCATAACTCCGTAGATAGGCAGCTCATTGCTCATTCAAAGTTAATTGCACCAAGGCCCATCATCCCTTCTGTACCCATGTGTGTCCAATCAAAAGCTGTTGATTCATGCGCCACTTTCTGGTTCTGACTGCTTTCTCTTTTCCTTCTCTTCCGCCCCTCAGTTTCATTTGCCAGATCAGAGAACTTGGGTAAGTTCCTCTCAAACATACAGTTTTGCCATGTGTCCGTACGTCAAGCAAACAAACCCTATCCCACAATTAATGCACGAGCTGCGAAACAGTTTCCAACTGACATCACCCAGCATTCGCATGGCTTTGGCCTGTCACACTCACACACTGACTCGACTGCTCAGAGACAATAAAAAGAAATTTCATATCAGTGTTTATAATGTTTAACATACTATGGTATGTGTATCCAAGCCTTTTTGATTTGTTTACATCTTTCGATCTTGACGTATCTTTACTTCTAACATGAAAGTGTTTCAGTGGGGATTTCCAACTGAGCTACACCCTTTCCATGCACCAGCCCTGAATATATGTTTGCTTATTTGGAGAATGAAGCAGACCTCTTGCAAATGGGCATGGGGGGAGGGGGGATGAGTGGAACGTGGGGTGGTGAGTGGTCTTTAGGGGTGCTGCTTTACATCACCAAGAGGGTAACAGTCTCTTTGGGACACTGGCGGGGGGAGCGGGAGGTTAGTTCCTCCCTCTAAACATCTGGTTCCCGATAAAGATCAACAAATGAGAATGCATCTCGCTAATTAGGGCCCTAACAGCATCACTGACATCTGAAGATAGCCAATCAACTGCTGGTCCCAGAGTGGTGCTACAGAAACAAGCAAGTTTACAGATGCATACACACTGCCCAGAGGGAGGGATAGGGGGGTTTTAGTAGGGGTGTGTGTCTGTATGTGTGTGTGTGTGTGGTTGAATGTACATGCGGGTAGATCAAAATGTCGAACATTTCGCACGCAATATTTCCAAGTGAGCCTGACTCGACATCCATAAAATCATTTCAGTGTTTGAAGTGTAACATGGAGCTGACTGATGGTCACTTGTCTATTGGACTGGACGTGTGAGTCATTTGCCGTGTCCCCGCACACAAGTTATTTGGCAAGGAAAATCTTCTTTTTGGAGCATTTAGTGAAAAAATTTTTAAATTGCAGCAACGGATTTAAAGGACAGTTGTGATCAGTTTTTTTTTTTATCATGTCAAGTAGTCAGTATGCAAAGAAAATATACTCCGCCATGTATATTTTTTCATATAAAAAGACGAGTCTTAACAGAGAGCAGCCGCATGAGTAGACTGAGGTGGGATCAGAATTCCCCAGTAGATGGAGCCAAGATGGAGTAGCTTTCAGCTCTAAAAATGTCTTATCGAACAGGTTCGATACTGCCGACAGCTTTAGGGGCCCTAATGTTCCCAGGAGTTATGGCTTCTCATTGAGCAGTGCAGACAAACTGAGCATTCATTCCAGTTTCTGAAAAGAGCCCAATGAAATACATTCAAAAGAAATATGAAAGCATTTCACCTCCCTCTTGCCTATCTTTCAGCCCGTCCCCCCCTTCTTTTCTCACTTCCTCGCCTTCTCTTTCTCTCTTCTCTCCCACTTGGTCTCTCTTTTGCCTTTGATTCATGGCGTGTAGCACTGGCATATTCATAATCAAACAGACCTGACACTCCACATCCTCCCTCAGTGGGAACGCCGACGGCTGCGGCAGGAACTTTACACTCGGCCGTCACTCCTAATCAGCCACTCCCAACACCCGACTCCACCGCCATCCATCAGCCATCAGTCCTTCTCTCTCCGGACTCTGTTTTGCCTTTTCTTACTTTCTTGTTTGCACGCTTTTTTTCCTCCCTCTTTGTCTCTCTTTCTTCCATTCCCCCTCCCCACCCCCCCTCCTCTATCATCTAGTCCTTCATCATGCTTCTTCTCCAATTCTCGTGCTCTGTTTCTTTTCCCTCAGTCTCCTCGATCTTGGCGTGAAGCCTGAGAGTGACAGGGGGTGAAAGCAGGAGATGGAATGTCAAAGTCGGAGCAGGGCTCTGGTGGAGGACCCGAATCACCATTGATTTGTTGCCTTATTGAAATAAGAAAGAGAAACAGGCTGAAAATTCAATACAGGCAAAATAATGCAAATGTGTGAGTCTGCTAAAAAAAAAGAAAACTTTGTAAGGGTGTGTGTGCGTGTTTGTGTGTGTGTGTGTGTGAGATGGCCTGTCAGGCCCTGCGGCCTACTGAGACCCCTGCCCCTCCCTCTCCTCCTCCCTCTAGTTCTCCCTTCACTCCCCCTCCAGCCCCCCGCTCCTCCCCCATCCCGCCCCTCTCAGCACAGCGATATCATTATTACCCGTGTCTGGCCCTTGATCAGTAATGTCAACATCTTTCATATTGACGAATGTGCTGTCTGCCCGCATTGTGCACAGAATGGTTTACAGCCCGGCAGTGGACATGAATCACTCCTCTGCCACACACACACACAAACACGCACACACAGACAGATACACACTAAGCATGTGCAATCACATGCAACGGACATGCCTGTAAGCACACACATTTTGCACACACACAAATACATTACAGGAACATTCCTCACTCTCTCACACAAATATATTTTCCGTTTTTTACACACACTGAAGGTAGTTAATCAACTACGACCACCATGCAGCTCATAGTTTCTCATTCATATACATACATGAGCGCACATACACACACGGATATCTCCCCGGAGAGTATCCGATGAAAGTAAAGGTTCAGCTTCATTAGCAGATTGGCCGCAGTCCTCCTATGTGCGTGTGCGTGTGTGTTTATCTGCCTACTGTACATGCATGTTTGGAACAGAACAAGCAATGGCTTAATTTAACATTCACAGCTGCACACCTGCTCGCCACTAACCATGAATGGAAGCGTACTGGTTTTCATTTTTCGGCAAAGTTATGAATCAGTTTCCAGTGTTCTTGTCATGCACATACAGGAATTTGACCTTGTGATGTATGAATTATTCATGAGCGTCATAATGAGAATTCTCCTTCGGCACTTGTTTGACTTTTCAACTGTTTTTTGCCTGTAAACAAGACTCATTACTCAAACGATGTGAGCGAATCTATATAGAAAGTAGGTTCTCTATTAAGAAAAATCCATAACTCTTTGGCTTATGTGCTTAATGTAAAGAATGTGGGATTTCTGTGCTTCTTAGGTATTGTCAGTTTTTGCATTTTTATTGCATCTGGCAATCAGAAACCAAAACACGCTGAATGTGTTGTCTCAAAATCTTGTTTATGAAAAGTCAGATTTCATTTCTTCTTAGCTGACATGGCTCCTCACTCTGTCCTTCCTTTTTCCTATCTCTTCAGATGACTGCAATCGAGAACATGGCAGAGAAGCTGGAAACGTTTGGCTCCTTGAAGCCAGAGCCTGGTGACCTGCTGCGCTCGGTTCCCTCCATGTTTGACTTCAGAGCTCCGCCCTCGGCGCTTCCCGACACGCTACTGCGCAAGGGAAAGGAGCGCTACACATGCAGGTAACTAAAGCCCCTAGTTTGGCTTGTATTTTTCACTTTTAAGTCAGTCATAAATTATTTTTTTAATAGTTTTTAGTAGTCTCTGCAGTTTTTCTTTCTTTTTCCTTTCTCAGAATATTTTCTTGTAAATCTTGTCTGAGACTGGTGTGCGTTTTGTGGGTAGTTTTTTGTTTTTATATGGTTGTGTTTTAGTGAGAACACATTGCAGTAAGAAATCCTGTTCTTTTTTTGGAAGCACTTAAAAATTGCAAAATGTTATGTACGTCTTTATAGATACTGTGGAAAAATATTCCCTCGCTCTGCCAACCTGACACGCCACCTGAGGACTCACACAGGAGAGCAACCGTATAGGTAAGAGCATTTTTACGGGCTCCTCGTGTTTTTTTACTTTGCGATTGTATCCCTCAACCTATCCTTACTCAGCTCTAAAAGTCTGCAGGCACATAATTGTCCAGTCAAAAATCCGATTTGCACCATAGCCGATTAACACCCCATGAAAAAGAGCTGCTTTTCTCCCCTCACACATATGAGTGAAAGCAGGGCACACACTTTCACACAGTGTACTCTGAGCCACACATACAGACAGCACAACTCATTTGTTAACAGCATGTGGATGTTTTCCCAGGGATTTCTTGTCTACAGTTAGAACAGAGTTTATGTGTGTTTTCTTATGCCATTAAAGGCCTGGAATAATTATACTACTGCTAAACAATTTGCCTGATGAAAAATGGCGTCCATCGCCTGGGTGAAAGGGGAGGTTTGGGGGGATTTGGGTTGTTGAGGAGCACAGGCAGAGGTCCACACCCGGCAGCTGTGGTCACAGAGTGATCTACAACAACTTTGGCTATTCCAAATAGAGGCTTACATCCCATTTAAACAGTTATTCCCATCTTATTCCAGAAATCGTGGTTAAAAAATAGTAATTTTAGCTCTTAGTGCTTATTTTTTTTTCCATTTTGGAAGCTTTGTTTAAAGGCTCCCCTTTCTGCTCCTATCAGCCCAGCAGATTTTTCCAGGTGCATCTGAAGTACTAGTTACAATACAACAGTGGTCCAGTACCCATGCAAAAATTAATTCTGAAGACTTACTACATTTGGATGCCTCGGTGCTTGGCTTTGTAGTTACTAAGGTAGAGGAATTTTGGCCCAAAGTTCGGAAGGGGCCTGCTGACCACAGGGGAGAGAGAAAGACAGATGCAGGCCTCTACTGCCCCAGCCTGATAGCCTGCACTCTACATGCTGGCATGCCATTAAAGATCACCGCCTTTTATTGTAATTTTTTGTGGAGATAACCGGGGGGGAGGGTTCCTGAGGGACAGCCAATCGAGCGAGCTAATTCCACAAGAAGAAAAGATGTAATCTTCTCGTATAATTTTGCATGAAGAAACTTGGCAGGAGCTCCTAATTTTTGCAGGGCTCAAACCAAATCTGTTGCGTGCTTATTTTGTGAGAGAAGAATGCAATTTTATTGCGCTGGCTGGAGATAAGAGGCAGAGCTGTTTCACCTTAAACAAGCTCCTCCATCATGTCTGGGACTGTGGGACTGCTGGGACTGTCTGT